AAGCAGGGTGTCACATTGAACGATTAAATGCTTAGCATTCCTTGACAGAATGCATGTCACCCGCTGCCTTTAATGCCTGAATTTAACACTTCAGGCCATGTGTGTCAAACTCAAGGCCCAGGGGCCAAATGTGGCTCTTGTTGACATCTTATCTGGCCCCCAATATGTTATTTTAAATGTAAAATACTTTTATCACTTTAATTTTTTTTAGTAATCTTTGATTATGATGTCAAAACTGCAACAGAGAATGTCAAATGAGACCAAGCAAACTCTTGTTGAGCAACCTGCAACCTAGAAAAGATGTTGAGTATCTAGGTTCTTACACTTATTAGCGAACATTTCTTATTAGTATTTTAGATATCCTGTGTATTAAAACCCATCTAGGGACAAGTGCTGCAAATTAGCTCATGCTATAAGCACCACGATACAGGCTTGGGACTGCTGCTTTATTCAGTTTGTCTGTGTTATTGTGTGTCAGTCCCTAGCAAATACATGTAATGAATAAATAAACTTGAGCTAAAGTAGATTCTGAAACCGGCCCTTAGTTTGAATTTTTTTTATATTTGACCCCCTTTTGTAAGTGGGTTTGACACCCCTGCTTTAGGCTCAAAAAGTCTGCCTGGACTCTGTTTATTTCAATTTTCAACATAAAATGTGTTTAGAATAAGTGTTTTTTACCATCACCACGTGTGTTTTGCAAAGATTAGGCAGAGCACAGGTTTAATAAATAGTTTTTCTCTGAAAATGACATTTTAGTAGTGTTTTTTAATTGCTATTTACAGTTTGTTTAGTCTAAAGTAGTTTCAGCAGAGAAGAATGGTGTTGAAACACTTTCTGTTTAAAGTTACTGAGTCAGTAAAATGCCTTTTTTTTTCCAAGTGAACATGAAAAAACACAGTTTCCAAAACAGAACAAAACAAAAAAATCACATTTATTATTATTTTTTTGTATTGAACGCTTTTTGAATACATTTATTTAAGGAAAAAAACTACAATATGTTGAATGTTTCTTTTTGTAAAAGTAGACAGACACCAGATGGATGATGGTAAATCAAATGAAATGCTGTGCTTACCGTCATCTTGGACATTTTGTTAAACAAACTGAAGGGGTTTGCGAATGGATGCTCCACCTTCAAGCAGCCACTTCTTTCTGTTTATTTCGTCACAGATTGAAAATAAACTCTTTCTGGTCTTGAAGTGTTGAGAACCAAGACTTTTTTCAGACACTCTACAACCTAGACATGGGGCAAAGCGACTACGTGTTGATCAGAGCTCAGGTGTTGAAGATGTGAAGGGGCTCATCATTGGGTCTGTGTGGTCATGTTGGAGTAAAGTGATGAAGGGGGGGTTGTCTGTTGTCTGTGCACATGTGTATGTTTGGAGAACTGGTGTTGACACAGACACAACCGCTCCATTGTCCTCCTCAGTCTGCAGTCAGGATGTTTGAGGGACGCCTCATCGCTCCACTCCCTCTAATCTCTGCTGGAACCAAAAACCCTGCGGCTCCACGGGCCTTTAGTCCTCCAAAGCACCGTGAGCGCCGGTAAAAATGAGGCACATGCTGGTGAGAAAAGCTGAGAAGGTTACTGCCGAAAATCATGGAGTAGTCAATTACAGATTACACACGAGCTGTTTTAAAATTGCAGGCAGGGAAATAACCAGAGGGATTACCCCAAATCCACCGAGTAATCCTTTGATTTCAACAGTTTTTGATTTAGTTTTGTCGTATGAACTTTAAAATAAATATATAAATATATAAAGCCACATAAACAACTTTTATTGTACCTCTCAGCACTTCAAAGTAATATTATCAGTCTATTTTACCTCTAATGGTTTAGACCCTGATTTTTGTGTATTTTAAAACAGAAAATGTCTCTTTTTATTCTGAAATGGGCAAAACTGTGTTAAATTACTGCGTTGTTGCTTAAATAAATTTAAATATTACGCACCCTTTAAAACGTTTCCACTTATAAAACAAGGAGATTCAGTCCTTTTACTTTAATAGAGTTGTGCAATGATAGTAGTGGTTATTACATATTAAATACCCATTTTGATCTCAGAAAACATTAAAACCATCCAAATATTTTTTGCATAGAACTTTACATCTCCACTTCTAGAAACATTCTGGTTCTATTTCTTTTTTTTAAGGCACATTTCCTTATCAATTGTTACTTTCACTTTAATTTGTTGCCAGATTTCTAATTTTATGAACATAATAGGAGTGTAATTCATGTCATGATGGTTCAGTGCAGACTTTTTGAACAGGTACAAAAAACTGATTCTGAATATATCAACCACAGATGATTGTTGATCCCAGAGCGGGCATACATTTTATTTAATTGCATTTTACTAACAGCCAAGACAGAACAAACAAACTGAGAAATATACTTCTTAAACACTCTAAACTATGGTTGATTTAAATTAATACTAAATACTTTCAGTTTAATTTACATCCACCGTGTGAAAAAGAACCAATGGTCACAATCAGCTGCAGCAGAAGGAGACGAAAAGTACAAGTACGGCAAGCAGTTCTATCATGTAATGTTTTAAAACAATACTGGGTAAAGCCTTTAGCATATTAAATAAATTAATTTGAAGTCAATAGAGATGGGATATATATGGCTGTCTGAAGGGAGCTGGATCTTGAAGATCTGTTATTTCAAAGAGCTGTTCAGTTTCATGTCACCTTATATGGCTGTATGTCGTGACGTAGAACGTACGTGATGCACGACGTAAGGGCTGTACCACGTGTCTTGTCAAGTGGGGAACCCCCCCCCCCCCATCCCTGCTGCACTCGCCCACTTTGCCTGTCCTCTTTCACAGTGTAATGCAAAGGAGGAGTGTTTGTCTCTGCGTTTGAGGAGGAACAAAATAAAACTAATAAATTGGGAATGACTCCACGACTTAGTTTCCATCATTTGTTGCAAAGAGCTGTTCAAAAGACTTGGATCGTGCTTACACTTAGCTCGCTAAGAAGACTGTTTTTTAATTTGCATGTTTGTTTCGTCTTTGCTTCTGGGAGGGCTATAGTCTGTAAAAAATACTATTTAAAAATGGTGTCTTTTTAAAATATTTTGTACCAAAACTATCCCAAACTGTGACCCTCATAGTGATGTAGGTAATGAACTGTGACATGAGTACTGTCACATCACCTGTGGCTGAGTGGTTAGAGCGGTTGTCCTCCAAAAGGAGAGTTGGGGGTTCAATTCCACCAGCAGTCACATGATGAAGTGTCCCTGGGCAAGACATTGAACTCCTCAGCCTTTTATATGTCCCATTGGTGCATGAATGTGAACTAAAACACTGATTAGTCTCTACAGATTCAGATTAGCTTTGTATAGATATAGTAGAGTGCTGTATGAATGGGTAAGGGCACAGATTGTGTTGTAAAGTGCTTTGAGTGTCTTGATTAGATAGAAAGGCACTATATAAGTACAGTCCATTTACCATTTACATTTCTAGTAAAGACTCAATTTTGGAATTGGAGATGTTATATAATGGCAGTAATGCACTTTAATCTCAGTCTCTGGTCATTAGCTCGTCAGTCTGGCCAGAATTCAACTCTGTTTCTCCAAACTGAGGTTGTTGAGAGAGGTTTCTACAACATGCAAAACTTTGTTTATGACTTTTAACAGAACTCTACTTAAAAAAAAAAAATCTGATTACATTTTGGCCAAATAGAATAAAAAGTTTGGTCAGGTTTGTAAAATATTTGTTGAAGTTTAGATTAAACAGAGATTATATTTCATTCATCCCCTGAGAGAAATAATTTACCCTAAATTAAGTTGGAGAGGCAGTTTAACTTCACATGAAAAACTATACCAAAACATGCTGTTGCTTTTATTCCTCTGTGAATTCCTGAGTCCACAATGATAAAGACAAAAATGCAGAATAAAACAATTTAAGCAGTTGTGAAGGACTGTGTGAAACATTTCAAGACTTCAGTGCCATCATAAAAAAACGAGCAAACCAAACCAAAGCTAAAAACAGATTTGGGAATTACTGGCCCATCACAGAGAATGCAGAACCTTAATATCAACTTCTCAAACATTAATTATTCATTTTGGAGCTTTGAGGCTGATAATGCGCAGCAGACTGGGTTTTATCCTCAAGGAAACTTCATCGCCCCCCAGGAAAGTGATATAAGTAGATTCATTTCAAGGTGGCTGTTACTCCAAAGACTTTATTAGATTTAGTTAATGAGAGAGCGAGGCAGAGCACAGGGTGGGGAGCTGGGACGTAATTAAGCCGCGAGTCTTGACGATGCCACTGTTACACACTTTGATTAAAAACACGCTTGGCAACTAATCTACACCAAATTAAAGTGGTTACATCATTTGGCATGGTCACCTTTGGTTCTTTACCGAAAATGAGATAAATCCCTCTTTCCTTCGCCTTCATCCGTTCGCACCACCTTCTGCACTCAAACTCCCCACATGCTGGGCTGTCCTTCTGAGATCTGGGTAACCTTTTTTCAGGTTTATAACTTCCATATGCCCTGCTGGGCCTTTTATGGCTTGACTGCGTAATACAGGAGAAGCTTTTATATTTCCAGGCCAGTACACATGTGTTTTCTTGTCTGAGCAATAATGAGTGTTAGTATAGATTTCCTGTGACTCAAACACCAGACTTAATTGACCCGAACAGCTCTGAGTGACTTGGCACCTCCCGTCTCAACCTTACCCCCCCTCTCATAGGGACCTTTCTCTGGGACAAAGAGGCTTTTGTCCTCGGGCCTGTGCCACGGCGCTCTGAAGCTTTGTTGACTGTTTCTGTCTGACAGAGCAAATAGCTCTGGCCTCCTTTTGTTTATTGTACATTTTTTTGAAGTTTGAACAAAGTTTACGCAAATGCCCCATTTTCTGATGTTGTCCGCTGCCGGCGGGGGGAAACAGACAAAGTAGCTGGGGTTATTGATTGTTGGGTTTTTGACTGTCTGTCACTGTCTGACCTCTTATCGCCTAACCTCCTGCTTTTTCTCAATCTCGTTGTCGCTGACAGGGATCACATATACACGGTGGACACGGAGACTGCCAACGGTGACGAGATCTTTTTCAGCAAGGTGAGTGAGACGTCAGATTCTCTGAGGATTTGCTGCGCTCGCTGCGCAGTGATCGACAGCGTAACCCTAATAACCTGGCTCGGTGTATTTGTGCGTGCACGTGCGTTTCATGCATGTTTACATCTATCTGCCCGTCAGCACTCACCCACCTGCTCACTGGTGGGAGCCATGGTGACCCCGCTAAGAAGATTATCCAATCAATCAGTTAGCAAACCACCTGCGTCATCCACGCTGATCAGCGGGGCAGCGGAAGTTGAGTGGGTGTGTACTGGAAGCTAAAAGGAAGGAGCTGGAGAGAATGGATTGATGCAGATAAACTGGGAACAGATAAGGAACACTTTCTAAATGAACTGCAAATCAAAGATGCAGTACTGTGCAGAAGTCTCGAATCATCCCTTTTGTGTTTTGCCTCCAAGCAGCCAGACTTACTTGAAATCTTCTAAAAGTATATTTAATTACATGTATGTTCCTTTAGACTTTCTGAAGGTCTTTTAAATCTTTTCTGTGGACATTAGCTGCCTTTTCACTCATTTTTAGGTCCAGTATCTGATCATTTTCAGAAGGAATTTGTGCATGTGTGGGCTTATTAAGCTACCCGTCTTATACTTTTAAATGATTCAGGCAAAAAAATTCCTAAACTGAAGCAACAGACCAGTGTTGGGTCGACAGAAATCCTAATAACCAATTTTAAATTGTAATTTTAGGTACTTTGTTACCAGCTGCCAGTCATAATAAGACACTTTTTTCCATCCATCCATCCATCCATCCATCCATCCATCCATCCATCCATCCATCCATCCATCCATCCATCCATCCATCCATCCATCCATCCATCCATCCATCCATCCATCCATTCATCCATCCATCCATCCATCCATCCATCATCTTTACCCACCTCTTCCTTGGGTCACTGGTGCCCATGTCCAGCCATTACCGTGTCCCATTTCTTTAAATGAATTTCTGAAAAATACTAAAGATACAATTTAAAATAATAATTACCAACAAGGGGATTCCCAAAAATCCATTTATTTTGCCAAGTCTTTGCTTGATTGTTTTTTTATTTGTTTCCTAAAGGTAGTATTTATATTTTATAGAGAGTTTTTTTTAATGCTGACACTTGTTTTGGCCAATTAACTGTCCTCTTTTTTTTTATTGGTTAAACAACACAGTGTTGTAATTTTATGTTGCCATAGTAGATTAAACAACTTGACTAAAATGAAGTAAAAATAGCTTAAGTAAAAACAAAAATAAAACAAACAAAAAAATAATAATTGAAGACTGTTGATCAAGACTCTTAACAAACTAGAAGGAAGTCTGGTTCTTTGAAAACAACATGTACCAAAATTTGGAATGAATCAAAACTTATGCACATTTTAGTTAAAGGAAATAAAAGGACATTGTACAACTCTGTTGCACATATTCAGATTATTTTAACAGTTTTTCATATACAAATCAATAGACTTTTGGTCATCGTTACCACTCTCTAATCTGGTCAAACCACTTCTCTCTAGCAGTGCTTGTCCTGAACATAATAGACGCTAACTAAACCCAAACAGGGCTCTCTTTATACAACCACCCTCCATCCCTCCACCTCATCCACTTCAATGTCCAAGCCTGGCGAATGGGTCTTAATGAGAGCAGGCTGGAGATGAAAGGCTGGTGGGAGAGGCGACTACTGATTGATGACTGAGGGTCTTTAATCAGCGGCTGAGCTCCAAACATGTTTAACAACAGCGTCGCAGCGTATGCAGCGGTCTGAACCTGTGGCTGAGCGCTGACCCTCCGGCCACACAAGGAGGGGTCCGGAGTGGGGTGTGTGTGTGTTAGTATTTGTGACTTGTCATTGATGGATAAGTGCATGTTAGATGTAAGATGTGGTGGGTGTCCTTTCTGATCCAGGACCAGTGTTGTAGAGTTAAACTGATCATCAGTCAGTGGTTAGAATAAAGTTCACCTCAAAGCTGTTTCCTCATGAGGGAAATCAATAATTGGAAATGCTAAATGATGATTATTGACCAGCGTGTGGACGGGTTATTGAGCTGTATTGAGCCGTCTGCTTCTTTTTCCTCTTTTAATGTTTATCAGTTTGGTTTCATTTCTTTACGCATTATTTTCAGAAAATGACGTGGAAGTCCAGACAGCCAGATGTGGACACCTGCAGAATGAAAGGAAAGCATAAGGTAAGAAAACACATGTAAACTCTGCATATGCAGCTTTCACCTTTATGTCATTTATGGAATGAATCTCACATTGTTCTGTACAAAACCTTTCCAGAGTACATCCGATTTAATAACATACAGTCTCCCACTCTGCTCCTCACATTTATACACACTAAAAGAACCCTAATTTGCAATAACATGTTATTTATGGTTTATATGAGCATCTGCTCTAATATTTTATGGATCGTGTCATTGGTGATATTTATATTTATCTTTAGTTTTGCTACATTTTTTTCCGATTCAAGCAAGATTTATTATTCCAATATTCCTTGAGAAAGCCCTTAAAAGGCTCATAAAATTTTGCTGCAAACATCTCCCCTGATGAAGTGTTACTGTGTGTTGCGCATGCTTCTTGCTCGTTTTACATGCTACATTTCAGAGGAAAAAACAAGAAAAAAATACCTTCTTGTTGTTCAAACTATGAGAAGATAACAGTAAAGTCATAAATGTCACCGTGGACTTTCTGTCTTCTTATTGTCTTTGTTTCTTTTCCTGCCCTGCGCTCCCGAAGGACGAGTGTCACAATTTCATCAAAGTCCTCCTGCAGCAAAATGACGACACCTTGTTTGTTTGTGGAACAAACGCTTTCAATCCCTCTTGTCGAACCTACAAGGTAGGGTAGCAGATGAATCTACAGAAATGTACCTCAATGGCAGATAAATGTCATACATGCTGCACAGAGAGTTGTAAAATTCCTTTCTTGTGTTGTTGCTCACACACACACACACATTTCCAGTTTTTTTTATATATATATATATATATTTTTACTTCAGCTGTAAAAGTTGCCATGGTATGAGTGTAGTTAGATGACTTTCACAAGTCAGCAGGCCTCCTCTTAAGTCTTTATCTGCAGGTTGACACGCTCGATTTAGAAGCACAGAAACCTATCAACCCATATTTTTCACCCACACATGCACACAGTGTGAAATGCAGGTGATGACACAGTCCTGAAATCCAATTCAACCATCTCCTGTAAACTTCTGCAGGGTCATATTCAGGCAGGCATGTCTGGAAAACTTTCAATCAATTTTTTCTTTTTTTTTACTGTGGTTGAAAAAATGTTGCAGGTAAAAATTAGGAGTGACTTGCAGGAGACGAATAAAGCTGTCAATAAATCGACAAGAAAGGAAGAAGAAAGCTAAGGAAGCAGATGGGAAAACATAAAAACAGATGTGCCAGTTGAGATTTTCCCTCCTTCGATTGTAAATCTGCAGTACATGATGCTGTAAAAAAAACAAACAAACATATATATATAACAATTTTGATCAGAATTAAAATTGTGTAAATTAAAGTCACTAAAGTTCGTATCTTAGATCTTAGTACTGTTTTTCTTTTACATTTTATTGTTGGATGTAACTGGGACCCTGTTTACACAATTTCGAACCACCACATGTAAGTCATGTGCGAATGCATCTACCTTATTCAAAAATGTCTGGGGAAGGACACCCAGACCCCCCACTCCCACCCCCGCCCACTATTTGCGTTCTGGCATCGATCAGTTTACAAATTAAACACTTTTACTTGGTACAACTACCGTGTTATGATTCTGTAAGTTTGAAGTAGTTTCTGATGCTGCTAATTTTTTCCAAACTGTAATAAAAAAAAAGTTAATTTAGTGTGTCTTGAATGAAAAATTCCCCATGTTTAAAAATATAAATATTGTATTAACACTATTAAAGAACATGTCTTAAGTATTTATATTACAGTAGTCCCTTGTTTATCGCAGGAGATCTGTACTCTGAAGCCCCGCGACAAGTGAAAAACCGTGAAGTAGAAATAGTAGTACATGCAGTAAGTAGTAGTTTATTTTAGCATTTAGAAAAAATAAATAAATAAAATAAAAAGCCATTTTCAACACTTCCCAAACTCTTGCAATATTCTAAACAATCGTTCTAAACTCTAAACGCGTCATGATTTCAGCTCTGCGCCTCAGCTGCACTCAGCCACCAGCAAGTGCTTTCGGCCACGCCCACTCCCCACGTTCTGCATGGAGAACAGCTGATCAGCTGCAACAGGAAGCGTATCCTGCAGTGTGGGCTGCACAGAGATGCAGGAGGAAGCTTTTTTTCCAGCTTTGTGGGTTGCACAAAGGTGCAGCAGGTGCTAAATAATTTTAAATAATTTATTTTAAATAAAAATTCCATGCCGATCATGCGGCTCATCCATCAATCAGCCATTATGTGTAGTGTCCAGTCTTATTTTGAAAAAACGCGATAGAGCGGGTCCGCGATAAACGAACTGCAGCGAGGGACTATTACATATATTTCCATTGCATTGAAGAGACAAATTGAAGAAAATTATTTCATAAACATGAGGGTTATGAGGGAGTCCCTGAAACTTTTGCTCCCCTGTAACGGGTCACTGAACCCAAAAAGTTTGAGAACCCCTGGCTTAAAGTTAGTTAGGGTGAATTCAATTTAATTCAGTTTATTTATATTGTATAGCGCCATGTCACAACAAAAGTCATCTCAGGACACTGAACAGAAAATGTAGATGGAAAAACTTGGTAATGCAAATATGATGCTTTAGCGAAGAACAAGTAGTACGCCATTGGGGAATTTATTTAATTAGTAATGTTATGTTGTTCTTTCTAGGGAGTGGGAACTTCACCTTCCAGTCCTGTGGCAGCTTATCTGACTATTGGTAGTGCCTGTGAATTCCTTCTGTCAAGGAAATAAACTTTAAAAACGGAAAGAAGAAAGATTAGAGTCAACCTAGCTCAGGTTTTCTTGAGGCAGAAAGATTTACAAGCTGTTAAGGGGCTTTAGGTTCAGTTTTGATTTTGTTTTAAACTGCTTAGTTCCTTTTAATTAATCTTTTTCACATTGCATCAAGGTCAAAATAAAGTGTGGACTACAATTCTTTTTATAAGACAATCTTTTTTGCATTTGCAGCATTTTAGCGAACGCACTGCAGAAGTCTCCCATCTTAAACTAACTAAATAAAAATACATTTCAATTAATAGAACATAATCAAACACAATTTTTGTTTCCAAGCCTGCTCAAACTTCTAAAAGACCACAAGAATTTATGTTAGTTAGATAAAATATGAAGTATTAGGACAGAGAAATCTGATGAGCAAAGTTTGCGCACGAAACAAAGACAGCCTGGGACAGAGCGACAGCAGGACAGAGCGACAGCAGGACAGAGCGACAGCAGGACAGAGCGACAGCAGGACAGAGCGACAGCAGGACAGAGCGACAGCAGGACACACTCAGCGGCGGTTTCGTCCTCATGAACGTTATTGTTGTCTTTGTTGGGATGTGATGCGACAGAAGCAGCACTCAGAGATCTTATCTGTGTAGCCTGTGGCGAACTCTCTCCTGCTTTGGTCCACTAGGTCTGTTTATCAGAAAAGCTAGACATTTCTGCTCTGTTGCCTTTATGGTTCAGCATGCTAAGCACACAGAATGGATGTCTTTCAACTCACCAACTCCCACTGCAGGGAAAGTGGAATTTATGTCTCTGCATTTATCAGGGGTGGTTAGCTTTTATAGCGCCTCAGGTTATGGTTTCAAGGTTGGTTTTAGCCGTTACTGCGCTGATATTGCTGCCGGAGTTAATATGAAGTGTAGGGAAGTGCTGTAAAACAAAGCAAGGTTTGGTCAAATGGCCTTGCTTGGAGACACAAGCATGCCTCCCCGTGACAGAACAGTCAGAGAATTTGATTAATTGATTTTGTCTGTAGCAATAAGGTAAACCCTTCTTTCATATTCGCTCCAATTAGCCACCATTTTGGAGCCATTTTGATGTTCTTGGTATGGCAAGCCCCGGTTTTGTTTAGAAACATGTGTGACTTTTATATTGAATTTTTGCACCCAGTCAGTCTGAACACATGTAAGGGAGAAAAAGTGTGTGAGTACATCAAACAAGTGTTGAAACCTTTGCAAACATGCCACATTGCAACACACGTTTTTCAAAAAGCATCACACACCCCACTCTGCTGGCAGACTCTCTGGGCAGATACTGGGCCTTTGATGGCCCACTGGGCTCATCCAGGCTGTTTGGTCAAAAAGAGTGTGTGTGTTCTGTGTGTGTGTGGTTAAATCCACCTTGGCCACAGTCCGGTTCTCCATCTCCCCAGTGTGACAGCACTAAAAAGAGCTTCTGTTTTGGGGCCAGCCTCATCCCACATTAATCAACAAAGCTGGGAGGGCGAGCAGGAGGGAATGGGAGGCATGGAAGGGGAGTAAAGAGGTGGAAGGAGGCAGAAAGTCGGGAGAAAACAGGGGGCAGAGAGGGCGTCGGACTGAGCCAGCAACATCACACACTGTTTTGTGTTCTGACACTTTCGCTGCCAGGTTATCTTTTTATTTTCACGTCTCTCCGAGTCTTTCTTTCTTTCTTTTTGCTGTCTTCATTAGTTTGTACACCCCATTCAGTGCACTTTGACCCACAAATGCATGTAGAAACACCCCTGTCAGACACCTTAGCAACATGGCACACCACGCAACTCTTTTTTCCTTCTCTTAATCCCTCTTGCCTCACCTCTCTCCTCCCTTCGTCTTCTGCCAACTTTAATACCTCTCTCCGTTCGTCGCTGCCGCCACTTCTCCGTCTTTCCCTCTCTTCTCTCTTGCTTTCTCCCACTGTCACGCTCTTGCTGTGCTGTAATAATAAACACCCCATCCAGCTGGGTTGATGTATGAATGGAGTCAGTTTCATCGCCTGTTGCCGGGTGAAGCTGGGGTGAGGGAATCGGTGGGGAGCCTCGAAGTCTCTGACTTCCAGGTGATGATACTGTTTGTACTTGAAAGTTGCAGCATTTGAAACAATTTGTGCCGGCAGAAGTAGCTGAAGTATTGTTGCTAGGCGAAAAATGAAGTTTACGTGATTTCTTTCTGCTGATGCTATTTCAGGAGCCGACTGATGATTAAAATGTATTTCATTTAAAATGTTACATTAGAATGGAAAGTTAATTATACAGTTATTATGTTTAGTGTTATAAATTCTACTAAAACATACCAGAAGGAGAGAAGGAGGTGATGAATATGAAATATGAAAACAGCATCGTCCAAAGTTGAGGTTAAGATCCCACCATGGGCCATAAAACACCAAATGAAGGTTCACAAGAAGGTCTTGAGAAATCAAGATAAATAAAAAAAGATTGATAAGAGCACATTTTATGTGTAAATGTTGTTAAAGACAAAAACAATGATTATAAACAGATAAAATAACATAATGGTTATTGAGACGGTTTCTGTTGTCATTATGTTTTTGTTCTTTTTCTTTATTAGCTAATTTGTACTACGGCAGAAAATAGTTTATATTACACACCCTCGTTGTTATTTTGTGGGTTGAAAGCGAAAATAACAACAAAATAAAATAAAAAATAGAGAACCACTGAATTAAAGCACGATTGTTGTTCAGGTATCTGCAAAGTTTTCAGTGTTGTTGAGAAAGGGGGATCGTGGAAAGCTTTCATCCGCCTCAGATCGAGTTCACAGAAAAAACAACCATGACTATTAATCACCAGGGAGATGCTTTCCTTTTTAGTGGTTTTCAAACCCTCTTCTGCACCAGGTGTGAACTTGTGCACTCGACTTTATGAATGGAGAGTGGTTGCAGGTGAAAATATGGATTACATAGAAACACATGTGGGACTCAACGCAGCTGCAAAGTGTCAAACAGCTTCTGAAAATGACCTGCAGGGCTAATCCACTGGGGTCTGTCACTGTCTCTTTTTCTTTTTTTTATTTATTTTAATAACTTGGTTGAAACAAGTTTTTTTATTTGAATGTGCTGACTTACTACAGACTACCCTTGAGCACAAATAACTACTTTTTTTTTGGCATCAGGCAGTTCTGTTGACTAATGCCAAAAAAGCTTTAATTGCCTAGTTAGGTTGGGTCAGCATGAACCTTTAGAGTTGATTCAACTTATTTAGTGCTTGGTCTGATTCATATCTCTTGCAGTAGTCAAACTAATTTGGTTTGGTAGACATTTTATTTGCTTATGTGTCAGTTTTGTTAAAAAACCCATGCATTTCTATATGTAACAACTCTATAGATAGAAAAAAAACCTGACAAACCTCAATTCAGCTTTTCAATATGTAATGTAAAACTGGTTCAGTTGACTGAGTTTAACTGAAACCCCAAGTGTTTCATTTCTACAAAACCAATAATTGCAGTTGTCTTCAATAATAATAATAATTAAAAAAAGCATCCAGTAACAGAAACAAATACTTTGAGTCTTCCAAGCATTTGTTACATGGAATCAGAACCTCACAAGCAATTCTGACCCAATTATAACGTTCCTAATGGGCATGTTTTGGCCCTGCTTGGTGTTTGTCTAATTAATTAGCATATAGCCTATAGAAAGCACAAATGAGCTGCTGTAGTAATTAATTCATTCAAATACAATATACCTCAAGCTAAAATTACTGTATACATTAAATCTGCAAGGATACAGTAGATCCCCACAACAGTGTGTGTGTGCATGTGTGTGTGTGTGAAGCAGGCCTGACAACATCTAACAACTCTATATTCCCCTTTCTTTGTTTTAAATTATGTCCCCACAAAGCCTAAGCCCTCTCTTTCTTTGTCAACGCCAGTGAGGTTGACAGGATAATAATGTTAGTCTGGTAAACAATGGGAAAAAAAAAAAAAAATTCCATCAACCAGTTTAAACATTACATTTTCTTGTGTTTATGCTCGTTGTGGTGGAGCATGGCCGATTTAAGTATTTCTGTCAGCTCTTTTCAAAATATTGAATATTGCTTTTGACAGGGCTAATGCCATGGAAGGCACCACGAGCACATGCCAGCTCGACAGGAGACTGGAGCCTGACGCGTATCTGCGGCAAGGCTGGGAGTGTCCTCCACTGTTCTAGCGGCAGGAACAGATTAGTGACAGACGGCCAGGCCCAGCAGACAGAGGTCACTGTCTTGGTGAAAACAAGAGAGGAGATATAAATGGGGGGGGGGGGGGGGGGGGGCGGGGGGAGGTGTGAGAGATATGAGAGTTGTGACAGGGAGGGACAGGCTGCTTATGTTAGGCAGATTACACAGGAGCTGCTGACGTTTGATGCAAGTTCCCATGTCATTTTCTCCAGCTGTTTATCTGCCTGAAAAATAACAATATATGATGTGTTCACATTTATTTTATTTTAATTTCCAAAATAACAGAACAAGAGGTCAAGCATCACACTGCTGCTAGTGGTTCTGTTTGTTGTAAAAGGTCACTTCTAATTCTCTCGGCCAAATCAGCTTCAACAATTTCTCTGGTGAGGTTTTTTTTTTTTTTTTCCCACTATTGCACTGCAGTGCGTATGTGTGCGCGCGCCGGTTTGCGTGCACGTTTGACCTTTTTAGTGGGCAGATGATAACTGTTTCCGCCGAGACAGGAATAGAAAACAAAATGACCTGTTTAGAGAGCAGAAAGGGCGGCGTAAGCAGTTTGCAGACTTGTGAGCCTCTCTCGCTTCTATGGAGAGAAAAAGGAGAAAGTAAGAAAGCGTGGTCGTAAACAATAAGACAGAGGGAAATAGATATATGGAAAGAAACTATATTATTTATTGCAAACTAAGAAATTTGAAGTATAGTTGTATTTTTGGACCTCAATCCCTGATCAGTATTTGTTTTTGTTCTTAGTTCATGAACATTTGTATCCATAGCTTATTTTTTCCTGCTTCACCAGAACCAAACATGGGATAAAAAGAGACAAACTTCTCTAGATATTTGCAACTAGATCCAAACTAGTGACATTTAACAAGAACTCTAAATAGCTTTAGGAAATGGGAACACTGAGTAACTCAACAAAATTGGTTAAACTACTCTCCTAGTGCCACAAAAAGTCAACTTTTCTCTTTGAAGTGCGGATTAAAATATAGGATTTTAAAATGAAGGTTAACAAGCCTCGCTGAAGGAAAACTTCTCAGCACATGGCTGTTAAAACTGCAAAATATATCACTAAAATAACCACTACTATCTGATCCGATATTTTTAAACTTCTGTGGTTTAGTAAAAGTTTCTCGTATCCGCTGCTCAGGGCTGTGTGCTCACCCGTTTTCTCCCTTTTCACATATTTTATTCGTCTGCACAGCAAAAAGCACAGATTTAAGAAATCAGGCCAGGAGAAAGATGTGTAATAAATGGGCTGGAGATCTGTCTTGAGGGTTGTTAAAACTCTGCTGCAACATCAGTGCACATGGAGGATAAAAGATCCATCCACCCATACCGTGAAGCACATTACTGTGGAAAATGTCTGGTTTTTCATCTTTCTTTGTGACAGTTTCCCAGATACTCCCCATCTGTGCAGCTTTGACAGACATCAGTGGGATACGAGTGGCATCCAGGGGTGATTAGGTTAGATCAGTTTTAAATGGATGCACTCCTGGCCTGGAGAAGACAGCATTTGGAATAATTTTATCGATACACCCACCGGATCGCATTAACACACTTTCTGTTTTACTACTATCTTAAAACAGTCAAAGTTTTGACATTTGTTAAGACGTTCCTTTTTTTATTTTGACTTCAACAGGAAGTCATCACAGTCAAAGTTTTATTTTTAGTCAGTTGATTTGTTTGACACGCCACAGTTCTGACCTTTCACCTTTTTCTTGACCCTAGATGGACACCATGGAGCCTCTGGGGGAGGAGATCAGTGGGATGGCCCGCTGTCCGTACGATGCAAAGCACGCCAATGTTGCTCTTTTTGCTAGTAAGATTGAACAATTTTCTGTGACTTACTTATTTTTACATTAAAAAGCAAAGAACGACTGGATGACTGGTCAATTAATTAAGATGACTTTTGCTAATATCCACAAATCTGTATGCACCACAACTGATTAATTAATCATATTCCACAAACTTTTAAAAGAGTACTATTTATGCTTAATTATTAGCTTTTAAAACATTGTTTAATTTACTTTTTAAGAAAAGAAAGGCTACTTTTAGAGGGGAAAGTATAGATAACTTCATGCATGGAGCATCATTTATAACAAAATGTCAATAAATTGTAGAAAAGGTTAAAAAAAAAAGAATAAATTTGTTAGGATCATCACAATACCTGTCAAATTAATAATTCAGATAGTCTTCATTGTTCTTTCTCATCCTCATACAGTCCATTACTGCTGTAATGATCCAACATTTGCCGTCAAGCTCTTTGTACCCCCCATAAACTCAAACTAAGCAATAAAGAACAAAATTAAAAAAAAAGTTTAATAAGCTGCATCGGCTTTAACTCTTGAAATAGACCAAAATGTTTTTGCAACAATCAAACCTTGTGTTCAGTGGTGATCTATCCACCCACAACCAACTGCCTCCTTCCTCTGAGTCTGTCAGGTCCATCCTGACCATGTCTCAGTTCTTCTCTGTTCTGTTTGTGAGTCTGTTTGTCAGACTTGCAAACCAGTTCTGAACAAGAAAAAAATATGACATTTACTCATTAGACCCTAAATTGCATGTAATAACAATTATTTTAGTCAAAATCTTATTCATAGTATAAAATATTAAACTTTTGACTTAAAAAAGGCAAACATTCTAGTTTAAAAATGGCCTTAGACCATACTGTTATTGATAAAGATAAAGACTGGCACAGGAATCAACCACTTAAAAATCCAAATCTGTCCACCTCTACTGATTGTTAGTCTTTGTTCTTTGGATTTGTCTTTGAAAGCAAGGTTTTTGGCTGCTATGAGAAGGACAAAGTATTAATCCTATTTTTCTGCTATCTGTGGCTTTTTAATGGTGGAACAGTTTGGAAATAGTTTGCTATTTGTGTGCATTTGAGTGAGCAGTTAGTAGTGGTTGCATTTATTAATTTTATTGAGCTCCTGTGGTTTATTTTAATGGTGGTATTCTGACATTGTCAGAGGAGAAAGCCAGAGTTTGACATGTACAACAGAGCAAAACATCAATCTCTGGGCTACGTTTGTTCCATGTCAGGAATTCACTTCTTATTGAGATCATTGGAAATGCATCAGTGGTACTGTGGAAACAGAATAAATAATTTATCTTTGGCTTTCACTGTACTCTGCTGTTATCCATTTTGTTTCTCATTCAGTGTTTTCAATATGCATGTGATTAAAAATAAGTCACAAGTAGATGGGGCCAGAATGAGTCAGCTAGCTCTCTGTTGGTGGGGTGCTATCCACTGGCTGCTAAAGACATCCAGTTCTCGTTCACTGTGAACCGATTTATGGCACTATTGATGAGCTGTCCCTGCTGGTTTGAAGCACATGATGAGAGCAAATGCCAAACTTGTGCAGTGATGTGTTGCAGAGCAGCTTGGAAGGAGCTGGGAGCACTGAGTAATCAAGAGGGTTCCTCCAACTGCCATCCTTTCAATTATGTCGTTTGAGTTTCCACTGTGGTTTTAGCCGAAGCAGGCTGAGGTCATTCTGGTTCTGCATTGTGTTTTTGAAGCGTATGTGTGTATGGACGTGTGTAGAAGTGTGTCACTGTGGCTTTTTCTGGTGCTCTACACTACAGAAACTCAGTCTTTGGGATTTTAAAGGGTGTTTGTGAAAGAAAAAAGGTGCACCATGTTGAAAAGTTTGTTGTGCATCACTTAATTCTGTGAATCAGGTCTGAATCATCAAAAACATGTTTGTTCATCCAGTGACAAAGAGAATGAATCTCTTAGTAACTGTGCACTTTCTTTTCTTTTGAATTAATGTAACTCGCCTCACATTTTTCTCTTCTTTGTGGCAAATGTTTCTTTCTCTCTTTATTCTTTTTCTCTGTTTGTCTCCATCTTTCCTCCTCATTGCACTCTCTGTCTCTGCATTCCCTTTCCAGATGGCAAGCTGTACTCGGCCACCGTAACTGACTTTCTAGCGATCGATGCGGTCATCTATCGTAGCCTTGGCGACAGTCCGACTCTTCGCACTGTCAAACACGACTCCAAATGGCTGAAAGGTGAGTTGGGGATACACCAACACAGTTATGGTAGCTGGAAAGAAGCAACCTTGCTAAAAAAGGATGCAAACACACACTGGGGCTTAGGCATGCATGCTTCACTGTTCTGTGATTTATGATGTACGTGAAAACTCATCTTTGCACTTCTGTGTATAAATGACTGTGTACAGTGACACGTGCTAAAACGACACACTCTGCTTGATGCAGATTTATTTTGTCACTCTGCTCTAGCTGAAACTGCTCAGCTCCCAGAATGAAACAAGCACAAGTCCAGTAGGTCAAATCTCAATAAAGATAACTGTCTTTTCTCAGATGCAAATTGTTGTGCCGAGATAAAAGATTATAGATTGATGCTCGCAAGACTCTCAGTTGGACATTTTCTCCGTATTATGACAGAAATTGGACCAGTTTACTGTGAAATATGGTGTCAGAACTGTTTTGTCAGGACAAAATATCACTTTGACTCAAATGTTCGTTTCTTTTTTGCCTTCCTGCAGAGCCGTACTTTGTCCAGGCAGTCAATTATGGAGACTTCATCTATTTCTTCTTTCGGGAAATTGCCATGGAGTACAACACAATGGGAAAGGTAAGCACAGTTCTTTCTCAATTGTTTGAGCTCTAATCAGAGGTGACTTCCTATTTACTGAGAGAATCAGGAAGTGCCTGGGGAAGCCAACAGGATATGGGTGTATCACATAATGGGAAGGAGGCTTTTAGGAGCTGTTAAGTGGCCCAAACATATTTTAGCAATCCTGAACCGGATATGTGACCTAAAATAGATCCTAAAACAAAATATATTGATGTCTGGAGACCCACTTTTCATGTCTAAATATACCCCTTGAATTGCACATCCACATCCGTCCCTCAGCGCTCCCGTTTGACCTTTTGTCTCCAAATTTCCCAAAAGAAATTCCACACAAGTGACTTGAATCAGAAACTGAGAAGCTGAAGAACAAGCAGGCTTTTCTCAGGTATTCCACCAAGGGGACAGGATCGTCTCTCCTCATCCGCTCAGTTCAGTTTTGGATCTTGCAACGAGAAAGTTTAATTGAGCCGCAGGTAGTTACGTTATGAAAATGAATATGCACTTTGCAAAATAAATGAAATGGATTGCACGAGAGGGTCGGTAGAAGAACAGAGCCGAGGCGATGCAAAACACAGAAATAATGGATTCACTGCCAGAAATGACAGCCGTGTTATATAGAGCATGAATACAGATCAAGCTTCTCAATCTGCCGGGTGTTTTGAAAGCAGTGTCAGCGTAATTATGCATGTGGTGGGAGAAGTGATGGAGCAGAGAGCAATTTAACATTTAGTGAATGATATCTCTTCATTATATCCCAGCAAAATGGCCTTCTCTGACGATATAAAGAGTCGCCTGTGCTTTATCGCCAACTGACGAATGTACTTGAAGAGATACGTTTTTCAGTTTGATTGCTCAAGTATTACTTGGGAAAAACAAAGGATAAATATTTATTCACATTAGAGATTTAATAAGCATTTGTTTATGTATATGTGGGTAAATTTAAGCAGTTAAATTCAGAAGTACCGAGCACAAAAAAATGAGAAACTGGTATAAGTTTACATTTTTACCTGTTCCTCCAAATGCTTTTTATGCCATCAGTCCCTAAATATAGGAAGCTACTGTGCTTTTCATAGCTGCTGAATTTCTGATTCATATTTCTGTGTGAGGAAGTGAATACCTGTGGTGTGTGTGCAGAGGTGAGGGTGTGTATATTTGTAGAGATCTGATTTAAATGCATGTTTGCTCACAGTCACGCTGTCAATTTCAGGTCATGGTCGAAGTTGTAGCTGTTAAGTATAGTGTGACAACAGCTAATTACAACGCTGGCTGCAAGATCTAACAGCAGAACTGTAATTATAGCATGGCTCTTATTTGAAGCTGTATAGTTTAAACTTTCTGCTGCCAGGTGCTGACTCACAAACACACCAAAGCACACCAATTTACTCCTCTAGTTTAATTTACGTTATAGTGATAAATTGCTGGATTGAAACTGTGGTGTCTTTCAAATATTTGATTCATTTAACAAAAAGTTTTACAATGAATATTACAATGAAAGTTTTAGATTTTGTATTTTTATATTCTAGCTATTGAGAAAATAGTCTAAGCTTAATTGATTTCAGTTTCTATAGAATTAAAAAAAACTTGTACATTCTGAATAAGTACGTAGCTGTAAACAGTATTTCAGATCTTTTGAAGTGGAGTTTGGAGTAAAAGTTAAGATTAACAGATTTTTAAACAAATGCTGTTTTACATCAAATGCCAATTTTGTATTACATGGTAATTTACATAATATTATCTGGTTATTTGCAAGAGCAAATAGCAGAAGCAGCAGTAGCACTTCTGGTGCAGCCTGAGGCACTTCCTGCAGGAGTATCATAATATTTGTGTTGGAGTAGCTCTGTAATACAATACAAATACTGGTGTAAAGGTTTAGAAAATGGATGCAGGTGACTCTGTGCTGCTTGTCCTATTGGGCCTTACATCTGCTTTTGACACCATCGACCATGAGATCCTCATTTCCAGGCTGGAGCAGTGGGTGGGCATCACAGGGTCAGCCCTCAAATGGTTTATATCCTACCACTCTGATAGAACCTTTTTTGTAAACATCAAATATTTTAGTTCAGCATTGACAGCGCTTCAATGGGGGGTACCGCAGGGGTCCATCCTCGGTCCTCTTCTCTTTTTTTATACCTGCTACCACTAGGTACCACTAGGTTCCGTAAACATAACAATTCCTTTCATTTCTATGCTGATGACTGTCAAATTTACTTCACTCTGAAGCACACTGGTGCACGTTCTGTTCAGCCTCTTCTTGATTGCCTGGCTGACATCAGGGACTGGATGGCTTTAAATTTTTTAAGTTTCAATGAGAAGAAGACTGAAGTCATACTGTTTCCTACTAATGGCACGATCAAGAACCACTGCATCAACCTTTCCTCTCTAGCCCCGTTAGAGACACAAAGAGTCACAAATCTGGGGATGATAATGCACCCTTCCATGAAATTTAACAGTCATGTAAACATGATTGTTAAATCCTGTTTTTTCCAGCTGAGGCGACAGTCTAAGCCACAGGTGTCAAACTCCAGGCCTTGAGGGCCGGAGTCCTGCAACTTTTAGATGTGTCTCTGATACCACACAGCTTAATCAAATAAGGAGGTCATTAGCAGGACTGTGGAGAACTTGACTGCACTGAGAAGCTAATTCAGTCATATGATTCAGGTGTTTTGGACCAGTGCAACATCTAAAAGTTGCAGGACTCCGGCCCTCGAGGCCTGGAGTTAAGCTGAAGCCCATATTGCCCCAAAATAACCTTGAGACTGTAATACATGCATTTATAACATCCAGGCTCGATTACTGCAATGCACTTCTTTTTGGAATCAGTCAGACTTCCATTGCACAATTATAACTGGTCCAAAATGCTGCAGCCCAATTTTTAACCGGTACAGGCAAAAGAGAGCACATTACACCGTTCTGGCCTCCCTGCACTGGCTCCCAGTTTACTTTTGAATTCAGTTCAAAATCCTTCTGTATGTTTTCAAACATCTGAAAAGTTCTGCCCCTCTTATCTCAATGATCTCCTGCAGCCATATGTCCCACAGTGATCTCTGAGGTCAGCAGATCAGATGCTCCTAGTGGTTCCAGGAACCTGTCTCAAACTCAGAGGTGACAGGACCTTCTCTGTTGCAGGTCCAAGACTGTGGAATAATTTACCACTACATGTCAGGCAGGCTCCCACTCTCACTGTTTTTAAGTCTTGTTTAAAAACCCACTTTTATTCCCTAGCTTTTGACACTATGCAATTTGTTTTTAATCCAGTCTGTACCCTACAATGTTAGTTAGCGAACACAAAGTTAGCAAACTTCTAATTAATCTAAACAACCAATTATCGACTATTTAACGTTAAATAACACGTTAATTAATTAAATCAAGCCACACTGTGGCTTGATTGAATTAATATGAATTATATTGTTTAAATAAGCATACAAACAAATAAACATACCTCAACATGCTTCTTTAAGTGGGATGGGGAGTTTTTGAATGCTAATATCTCTGTTGTCTTCGGTAGGCATAAGAGGCATTTCATCCGGAAAGAGGAATCTTTCACTCCAACGTATGAAAAAAGTTCTTGTGTTGGACACCACCGAGTTCATCACCAGTGCAGTCGTCACCTGCTTTCAGAGTTTCACTGTTAGAAACTCAAACTTCCATCATGGTGCTGGTCACATCCAGAATGACTGATAACAACTTGCCTTGACAGTCACAGCGCTGGTCTGCGGTTGGCTTGGCCGAAGGCTCTAGAATGCTACTTCCGTTGGTTGCCCTCGACAACAAACAGGCATTGCCCAATCAGATTTCTTCTAATTTTATATTGTAGGAACGAGTAACTAAGATGGTTAAGGGAAATGTATTCAAGTAAAAGTACACATTTTATTGAGAAAATCTACTGAAGTAAAAGTGAAAGTCGCTAGAATTTTATATAGTGAATTAAAGATACGTCAAAATTCTACTTAAGGACAGTAACTAAGTATTTCTACTTTGTTACATTACAACACTGGTTAAGCGATATCTTCAACAATGACAATATTTGTTGTTCACAACATTTTCTGAAACAGAATTATTTCTTTAAACTGGAGGTCAAGTAAAACAACATGACAGTCAACAGTTCTGAAGGCTGCTCACGTATCGCGGTAGTTTTTCCCCCACACATTTTTACTAATCACAGTGAAATAACACTGAAATGCAACTGATGCAGAGGCTTTGTAAAATGTGCTATTTTTTAATATCTGCTTTCACACAAAATTGTTTCTCCATCTTGTCATATTTAAAAGAAAAAGCCCAACAATGAAAGGTGACAAAGTGTGACAGCTCATAATTTGGCACAAAAGCCAGCAAATTTTAAAAAAAGCAACATAAAAATCTATTTATTCTGACTCTGAATGTGAGACTATCATTTTTTTTTTCTTATTTGGTGAAAGCCACTATTCATCATCTGTCAACTCCATCTGAGACTGGGCCAAAGGCAGAACACAAGTCACATCCATTACAGAGCTCAGAGAAAAGCGTTAGCTTTCACACCTCCAGACACTTTGAAATCACTAGTTAACCTATAACATGCATGTCTTTGGATTGTGGATTGGTTTGAGAGGGTGCCACGTGCAATATAATGAATTGCCTTGAGTTTTGTAGATGTCTTCTTTGCTCTCCAGCGTCAATTAGGATCTCTATTGTAAAACTGTCCATCATGAGTCTGACAGCGCTGTAGGGGTGCAATGCTAAATCCACAGAGTACTCTTTTCACTTAAAGCATCAGACTGGATGTGACAAAAGTGACAGCTGATTCAAAGCAATGTAACTTTTCAAACCGTCACTCTGTCAGGTCGTGTTTCCACGGGTGGCGAGGGTTTGTAAGAACGACCGCGGTGGCTCGCCCCGCGTCCTGGAGAAACAGTGGACCTCCTTCCTAAAATCTCGCCTGAACTGCTCCATCCCCGGCGACTCTCACTTCTACTTCAACATCCTGCAGGCCGTGACAGACGTCATTCACATCAACGGGAGGGACGTCGTCATGGCGACGTTCTCCACACCTTACAACAGGTATCCAGAGCAAAAGAAATAAAAGAGACACAAATTTGTATTTCTAATCTAAACTAATGTTTAAAATGTCAGAAGCTTCCGTTAGTGTGATTATCTCTCTGTTTGAACTAAAATGCCCTCAAACTGTCTGTGTTTTGACAACCTGACAGTCTTTATCATATTATTTGTTGCTGGCTTGTGATCCTCATCTACCTTTTGGCCACGTGTATTTTCTGAGCACCACAGGGTCAACATTTTCGTACTCCATCAAAACAAGTTTAATGCCCTTTGGACTTGCAGGCGTTGAATCATATTTTCTATCTTAAAATTCATATGCTGACCTCTCCTTGAAGGCCGTGGGAGTGTTTTTATCCAAATTGAAAATTACCACAGAGACACGGAGCTCTGCTGATAGCTCATACATATTGTAATTTTCTATTTTATGCCTGCTTTTGAGCAGATAAGACAATTACTTGTGACAACGCAATTGAGCATGGTTAATGGACATTAAAACCCAACGAAGCAGCACCTCTGAAAATTTCTATAAGCACCCGTTTTGATTCTAGTATTAATTTTACATTTCATACTCAGGGAGTGGAATTAGAGGAGGCAAATTTAGAAAGTTTGTGTCACTTAATTGTCTGTCTGGAAACACGGCAGCGTTTCAAGACCGGGCCATTTGCTAACTGACCACCTCGTTCCTCTATTTGCCTTGTTAGAAACCTGAAATAAACAGAAATATAATTGTCTAACTTTCTGTACATATCCACAGCAGACAGTAATTACTGCAATTTAGCAGCTGAGCCAAGAATGAACAACTTTCTGACCTCTATAATACTGCCCTTGTGTATTCAGTCCCCTCGATGTCTATGAGTTTAACTCATGATGCAACAGTAAGAAAGTCCTGGCAGCAAAAAGAGGGGGAGAAGGACTTCACTCCCCGTAAACAATTCTTGGTTAAAAGGATGCGCTAAAAATCCAAGACGTGACTCAGTAATCAGCTATGCATTGATTCCTCACAAAGGCAAGATGTCAGTGACACTGCTGCTATCACAAGATGGGTATTTTGTGAGGCAATAATAAATGATTTGTTGTTCATATTTGGAGCTTAGCAGTAAACTTGTGATGAACTTTTAAGGACACGAGGTTTTTGGGGAAACCCACAGAAGGGAGGGGAGAAGGAAGAAGAATTAAAAGCTTTGCATTTCTTGAAGGAATGCCTATCGCCTGCTGCCTTTCATACCAGAGCTTTTTACACAAAGATCATTTCAGGATGAAAAGTTATGCACTTATAGCTGTTTTGATCCAACATTGAAAAAAGCATTTTGCACAATCTCTTTCAGTATATAGATAATTTGTGTGCTCTTGTATAAGGTTCAAGTTTCTTTATTGTCATTCGCATCACATGTGGTACGTGAGGTGGAATGAAATTGTGTACACATGGTTCCAGTTACGTCCAACAACAGCAAAAATATAACGTGTAAAAAGAAACAGTAAATTAGGATCCAAGATATCAACTAAGATATACGCTAAAACAAAACCAAACGGCACGCCAAAAGATCCGAGACGTATGCTAAACAACAATAGTGCAAAACAATACACCAAACAACAGCAGCATGAACTGTTATAAACTACTAGCACTAGGAGTGTGTGTTGAGAATGACTGTCAGCTACTACCACACCAAAGTTTTAGCTTCATATCTGTAAAATTTACTGAGGTAAAAATTGTTGCGTAGACTAAGGTGGATTTTCTGTGCTGGCTCCAAAAGTTAACCAGTTGTATGTGTCAACCCAGTGACTACTTCCTGAAAGTCTCATTAAAATCTATTAGAGAATTGTGAGATTTTTACCACGAAACACAGACAGTTGAGTCCATTGAACCCAAATCTCAGGTAGTCTGTGCTCAGAGATCAGTCTCAAAAACTCTTGACTAGTTGCAGCTATTTTCATATTTAATAAGCGGTGGAGGCTGTTTTTATTTAACTAAATGCACACCTAATGATTACTTTCTAAATCTTTCATAAAAATTTGTTCAGCAAATCATGAGCTTTTTTGCTAACACATACCACACACAAAATGGTCAAAAAAACACTTTGACATCGCCTTCAGCTGTGGGCAATTATAATAATAGAAGAAATTGTATTTTATTTTAATTGAAAATGGTCATCATTTAAAACATGCAGCTTCTAAATTAAAGCATCCTCAGGGGATTTAACTCTTCTGAAAGGGGGTTGGAAATCCATTTTTCTGTCCCTTGGTGATAGTCCAGAATTGGCAAGGTGCTTCTTTGAAATGCTCATGCTTTTGTTCTGTGCATCTGTTTATGTTGTGGCAGTATTCCAGGTTCAGCTGTTTGCGCCTACGACATGGCGGAGGTGGCGCACGCATTCACAGGGCGTTTCAAAGAGCAGAAATCCCCTGACTCCACCTGGACGGCTTTTCCTGAAGAGAAGGTTCCCAAGCCAAGGTAAAACTGTGTCTTATTCATAAACATAAACACATGCATAAAAGTAATCAAATCCAAAAGTGTCTCATCCTGTCTTTCTTCTCAGTTATTGTTCTCGCTCTTTTGTTGTAAACAGACATAAGCTATACATCCGCAGCTCTCAAATTAGTGCAGAAAACAATGTGATGCACGGCAAATACTTAAACCCAACTTATCTCTGCAATTCTTTAGTATAAATGCAACCTGTTTTTCAAAACTGAACGCACTCGTCCACACACAGTTGCATAAGCATCAACAAATGATGCGTAAGATCATTTTAAAGATGGTTGGTTTAGTCTACAAAAGCATCAGCCTGATCAATCTCTCATCTATCACTCACTAATTACTTCGCTAAAAGCTTCTCTTGTATCCTCAAGGGAAACAAAAAAACAAATTTACTACAAAGATCTGGGCCACGGTAATTGTTGATGCTGAGTGTTTATCTGTGAGATGTGAGTAGGAGCAACTCATCTTAGTAATCTGTGTAAATGACTATATGAGTGAGTTCACCTTCTTACCTCAATTAGCACATTACAGCGTGTTTATTTACAGTAAGGTCAGACGTTTCAAGGAGCAGATATGCCAGCATTTGTTCACTTGGCAGTAATTGATCTATTCTCTGGTGTTTTCTGATCTTTTTTTTATTAACATGCAAGCAGATGGAGAGCTGTAACAATGCCACCAAGGTCTGGTCCTTCAGCAGACTGTTCCTCCATGTGCTACATTCTTAAACGAATCATTTGCAGATTTTCATATTTAAGACATGTCTGTTTCCGTTCTGCCGTCCATATGCGTGCACAAATAACCAGTAGACTCCCAGCAGCAATTCTGAGATTACATTTATATTGCTAGCTAGCAGCTGACCAAAACTCATATGAACTTTATTTCAGGACAAAGTAAGGACTTTCAGGAGCAGAACTTTGCGTTTTCACACAGCGGGATCAAATTTTAATTTTACCTGCCTCAAACTGTTCAATATTATTTTGTGCAAGTTTTTTCTTTTTTTCTTTTCTGGGTTGCCATGAGTTTGAGGCTGGAGCCTATTTCAGCTGCCAAGAGACGAATCAAAACACATTCCTTGATGAAATTCTTTCCAGTCCTGTGTTGTAACAAAGGTGTAAAAGATATGTGTAAAGGGATGCACACACTTTCTTCATAACCCAGTTGACCATGGCTCAACCTCACTTCATCATCAACAAAAAATAATTACAAAAAACCAATATACATTTCTCTGGATCATCTACGAATTTACATTTTAGGGTTTGCACTAAATGCGTTGACAGTGCCAGGCCAGCTGGCTAATATTTCAAGAGTCTGGTGTGCATTATGTGCAAGGTATCAAAGACTACACTGTAAAGAGGTTTTACAAGCCCTCAGAAGTGACATGCCTGCAAAGAGGATACGCTATCAAAAGCTGCTTCTCTTTTACAAGAAACTCTCCAGCTCCCTGTAAAAGGATCACATAGATTGAATGTCTAAATGTTTTACCCTGAATTCAGAGAAAAGAAGACATGACGCATCCTCTTATTTGACCGAAGCCTCTTGGAATAAGAGTTGGGTCATTTATAGCATCCCTCTTATTGATTTTTGGAAATTAGACTTTCCGTCCTCTGTTGGCCTCTTGTCCTGAAGTGGTTTTTCATCTGCACTTTTTCTTCCATCCGCTCACTGTTTTGTTCCTCTCCCATCATCTCTCGTACTCATTACTTTCCTCTTCCTCCGCTCCACTTGCAGACCTGGCAGCTGTGCCGGCACTCCATCCATGGAGAGGTACAAGGTATCCAATGAGTTCCCTGATGACACGCTCAACTTCATCAAAATGCACCCTCTGATGGACGAGGCTGTGCCCTCCATTGCTAACAGGCCCTGGTTTCTCAAGACCATGGTGCGGTAAGTACTTCACACTCTACAAACCGCTATCATCGGAGGTCTGTGAGCCTCTTTAGACCAGGACAGTAATTATTCCAAGTGCTGCTCAGGGAGTCGAGCTCATTAAATGCCAGTAGTCCTTCATCGCAAACCAGCAACTGACCTACTTTTTGTGGAGTGGAAAAAACACAAATTCACACTTTACTATAGTTCTCCCTGTATGACAAACCAGTGATCAGTCCAAATGCCATTCCTTAGTGTTACTTCTAACCTAACTCCTACATCAAGGCTCAAGAACAGAAGGTAATTGATTATGGATCTTGATTTATTAAGGATTTCTTCATCCAAACGGAGTGAGAAGCTGGATATGGTGTGTTTGCTGCCAGTTGATGATCACTGCCCTACATTTTAAGTATTTTCTTCTTGGGTCTTATTTAAAAGTCATGAAGGTTAAATAAAATATTCTACCTCTGCGAGAAGCTGATGGTGTAAACAACTTCCTTAGGCACGTGATGTGTTTTTGCCCAAAATTGAATTAGCTGTACAAAACCACGAGAGGATGCAACTATTTTTAAGAATGGACAACAATGGTACCAGTTGTCATACACCAGAATGTGCTGAACAAGACTTTATGATTGCATGAGCAAAATCCAAAAAAGTTCAATCTGGTCCTCTGGACATTCAAAAAAACAAAAAACAAAACAAAGCAAAAAAATCTAGAAACGTTTCGTCTCTCATCCAAGAGACTTCCTCAGTCTGAGGTGCTGTTTTCAGCTCAGTCTCTTAAATAGCACCTTCTCAGGGTGGATCAACCAGTTTTGCTGCTGACAACCAAAACCAGCTGATCACATGCTCAAGAAGGACCATCAGCCTAACAATGGGTCATTAGCACACTGATGGCTGTTTACTACTCACAGAGGGCTGAGTGATACTAGCAATCACAGCATTGTAAGAGGGGGACAGTTGAACCCGGAGGCCTCCACCCCTGTTTAATGATGGACGATTTCTTTTCACAAAAATGGCCTCCTTTACTCCTCTCTCAAACCATCGTTCCTCTCTGTCTAGGATGTGAACATCTTCATCCTTGAAAGAGTGACCGCTGGCCTGGAGATGAGTGTAGACCGCAGAATCCTGGCCTGATGATGTTGATCTTCTGTGCTGGGCCATCCTTTTGGCCCAGCACAGAAGATCATCATCATCACTACCACTTGACCCTTCATTTGTATGACAAAAACAACTGGGACACACCTATCCATTGACATGGACATACAACATTTGTGTTGAATTAAGTGCTCAGAAAAGAGGTGACCAGGTTCACCCCTGACTGGTTTTTTAATAGCCATTTTAAGACTTGCTGGTGTTTATACTTAGTTATTTAAGAATAGACAAAGAGCTTTATCATTATAGTTTATTTCTCTGAACAGATTTGTATTTGAAATGGACTTGTTCCTGCCTTATAAAACACACTGATATAACCTTTATTGTGATTTGGCACTCTCTAAACAAACTATTTTGAATTCAACTGAATTAGATTTCACTGTTCCCCCAACAAGCAAGCAAACAAATAAATAAATTAAACGTTCAAAGCAATATTACTGGAGAAATATTTTGTTTTTGTTGAGTGGCTGCCTTTACTGATGAGCTTCAGCACCCGAGGCCAGTTCCCAAAAGCCAGAGCACCATGGCGTTTGTCTTTTGGTCCTAAAGGTCACTCTGGCTTTTATGAACACTACACAGACATTTAACCAGGCTCTGGGGAGATACAATGGCACATCATGTTCTCATCTGCAGGACAAAACTAGCTGACACGACACCTCTACCAGTAATTGAAGGAGTAAAAAGTTGAAAACCAACTTCCCTGTGTGGATCTGGGTCTACGATGGAGCTTTAGGGCCACGCTAAGAAAAATTACATTGCCACACTAAAAATAAAAGATAAAAATTGAAAACCATAAAATTACGAGAATAAAGTCGTAGCATTATGAGAATAAAGTCGAATAAAGTCTTAATATTATAAGATTAAAGTCATACGAGTCTTTTTGTCAATCAGTCCAGTTGGCGTGTCAGCAAATGACCAATCCAAATCTAAATGAGTTGTAATATTATCCGAACTCCAACACGATAAAGCAGGTTTTCCACATTTTAACTGTGGTAAAATGAAGAATGGTGAGCATCTTGTTAAGTTATACTTTGGTACTGGTTTTACAAATAAGGAGATAGTTAATCTATCAACACATCAGCATCAGATTATTATCAGTTTCAGGACTTTGAACCTGCTTACAGTAAAGTGGTATGTTCTGATGGGCTGCAGCACAGTTCTCTGCAGGTAAGGAGCATTTAGCTTTGGATTGGTCATTTTCTGACACGCCTACTAGATTGATTGACAGGTCGCGTTGAGGATCCGACTCATGGGGAAAAAAATAAAATAAACGAGAACTGTAAAAAAAAAGTCTTGCACGACTTTATTCTCGTAACTTTATGGACTTTATTTTTTTTTCTTAGCGTGGCCCTAAAGCTCCATCGTACTGCTTATACTTGAAGCTGGTTGCGATTTAAAGGTTGGACAAACTGACAGATTTGTGACAGGTCTAAGTGAACCTGCGTTCACTTTAAAGTGCTTTAGTACGTTTCAGTAAGTTTCCTTGCTGTTTCTAAACTGATGTTTGATTAACATTCTTTGTTGTATAAGCAATAAATGAGCAAATTATTTAATAAAGTAAATATTTTTTTCATTGATCAACCATGAAATGACTGAATTTATGTGAGCCAATCATCAAAGAATTGTTGAAGTTTAAAAAGCTTCACAAAAGTATATGAGATGGATGAGAATATTTGCTGTGGTTTCAGCATGAAGCTGAATTCAACTGGAAATAAAGCCAGTAATATGATTTCATACTTGACACGAGAGGAAATTCCAGTATCAAGTGCAACCTTCTGACTCAATATGAAAAAGCTTTTTTCTTTCATTCTCTCTTCTTTTTTTTTTTTAGCTTGAATTTTGAATTTTGGTGTTCTGTGGTAAGGCCCTCAGCTGGCTGAACACAATCACTTTAAACTGGAGAGACACTGAAGAATCTCGCTCTTGTGATTTTTTTTATTATCTGGATCTAAATAGGAAATAAATAAACTGTATTATCTGTAGAGATTGTATTGTTTTACTGAGTTGCAGCCTCACTGATGTCCTTAGAGCTCCTCTTGGATCAAAACCTAATTAGACCTTCACATTCTTGTTGAGTTTGACAGTATGAAACCCGTGTTACTGGTCACATCGGTGTAACTTTGTATTTTAATGGTCTCCTGGTGTAAAACTGTGCACTTGTAAGGAAAAAAATAACCTGATGCATGCAGACATTTTATTTTTTCGATAATTGCTTCACTGGTGTGTAGCTTTTGACTCGTTTTCACGTCAAGAACACAGTCAATATTAATGAGGGTAATGGTGGACTTCCTAGATTTCCGGATAAGCGCTCATCTCTAATCTTTAAATCCAATCTACTTCTATTAACCCCTAAAGCCTTAAGCTGTTTTTTGGAGCTTCTATCTTGAAAGATTCTCAAATCCAGTTAGTAACAATTGCACAACTTTGAGACCAAACAGAAAAACATTGGGCTTTAAGAGTAAGAGACGCTCTAGAGCCAATAAAAGCTTTTTTTCCCGAACCATCACACCAAATTTTCTGAAAATTTTTTTTTTTTTTTGACAACAAATGTAATGTGTAAATAAGAGAAAGATGTTTTAAAACTTGTGTTAAAATCTTTATTTTTAAGTAATAAATGTACGAAACAAAAATATGCCACTTACATGGCAATAACATTTGTTACGTTATAATTTTTGTTCTTTACACAATAACATGTTTCCATATTATTAAGAACCAATGTCATTCTATTGCAACAAATTCTAAAGATCCTAAAAATCCATCATATATAAAAGAAGAAAAATAAATAACATTAGCATAAGGCACACCAACATGCAAATGTTTCTCCTTTTGATAACCTCAACACATTTGTTTCCCAGAATAAGAAAACATATAAACACCAGCGATATCTATTTCAGTCTACTTCATTATTTAAATAAATACTTGTTTTTTTTTTCTTTGTGATTTTAAGATTCAAACACTCACAATCACAAAGAAGAGTGTGAATCCAAAATTACTGGTTTAATATCACCTCAAAAGATAAATAAAATTGCATATATATATATATATATATATATATATATATATATATATATATATATATATATATGTATGTATGTATGTATGTATGTATGTATGTATGTATGCATGTATGTATGTATGTATGTATATCTGGATGGATGGATATACAAATGTAGATATATGGGGGAGGGGTGATTTAAACTGTGTGATCACTAATTGTCAAGCAGATAAGAAATTGTGCCTAAGATATATAGGTGTTATGTTTTTTAATTCTCCGACAGGATTTTTTTTCCAGTCTAATGAATAAAACATTTTTAATAAGTGTTCCCTGCAGTTCTGTTGTCCTCTTTAGACACACAATGGAAAACACAATTATTGACTGACTGCTTGTCTCTTTAACTTTAGTTCAACTTGTATTCCTACGATTGATGTGATTTGCTATTTGTTTCTCTTTCAAAGAACTGATGTGTTTTTCTATTGGTAGACAAATTGACTAATTAATGTACTGATTGGTTTATTTGTCTTACTTGGTATCCCTTTTTCCAGGTATCGTCTGACGCGCATCGTGGTGGACAACAAAGCAGGGCCCCATAAGAATCACACAGTTGTGTTCTTGGGATCCGAGAAAGGCATCATTCTCAAATTCTTAGCCAAGATGAACAATGGCTTTCTCAATGACAGCCTGTTTCTAGAGGAGCTAAACGTCTACAACCCTGACAAGTACGTAGCTCTGGGCACAGTAGGCATGTATGATGGAGGGTACACATAGATACAGTTGCTACAAACGAAGGAAGGCCAGTCATTGCTTAAATGTGTGTGTGTTACTCAGAGAGACGTTGTATGTTTTTAGCACCTATCATCTCTGCCAACCCACCAGCTTCATCATTACAAGTCAGTTCCCCCAACCCAAGCTCTGTAGTGAAGCCAGTCAACCAGATGGCTACTCTATCATTTAAGAGTTTTATCAGGTTACACTCTGCCCAACCACAGCCACTAAATTAAAGACATAGACACTAAGACTCTGAATAGTGTTTGAGTGTGGTTCCTAACCACAGCGGAGCCCAGCTCCTCAAAAATGTTGGCTGATTAAAGCTAACACACATTCACTTTGAGGTTTATGTTAGTCTTTGGAGCCAGCCTCCGATCTCTTACTAATACATTACATGCCTGTTGGTTTGTGCTGTATGTATGTGTGACCATGAACTTGTGGAGTGAGTTGAACGTTGTATTTCAAGTATAAGGGAATAAGGAAAAATCAGCCACAATACAGTCCTGCCAGAGCAAACATTTGGTTGGGAGGAAATGGACGAGAGGGAGCAAATGGCAGCACAAACACAGTGAATGGGAGAAAACAGTTGGGAAGAACAGAAATGTGATGGGAAGCTAAAAGGAACAAGTGAAGGACTTGACGGGAGGGCTTTCATGGTTTATTATCTAACATGCTGCAGCCATGTGATGAGCTGTGTTTAGGAGATGAGGGCATGGCTCTGTCCTCTTTCCTCTCCCCTTTCCTGTGTCTCTTTCTCCCCTCTTCCATGTTACTGTCCTCTCTCCTGTCGGCTTGGGCTGAGAATCTGTCGGCTGCTGGCCATCTGGCTTCAGTCGTGTACAGTAAGTGACTTTGCTTCCCCGCCTGGCTGGCTGGATCAGCCCAGGCCCGATTGTTGTGCATTACCCAGTGTAGATTGACTCTAAGCCCTAATTGAGAATGTTAATGCAGAACCAGAGCTCTGTGAAGAGGAGATTAAATCTCAGGAGCTGGATGGCAGGATGGAGAGAAGAGTGAAGGGAAAGAAGGGATAGAGATGCTTGACACACCTCTGAGGGATTAGAATGGGGTCCTGTGAGGCTGCAAAGGCAGAGTTGACTAACAGGGATGGAGGAGTGGTCACATGTAGGAGGTGGAGGGGCTTGAGTCAGTTGTTAGTGGATTTTACAGTTAAGTGCTGCAGACTGCTCACAGTGACCATCTGTCTGTTTATCTGTATCCGTATCACCCAGTTTCTTATCTCGCTTTATCTCCCACTCTGTCCCTGACCTCATGTAGTCTTTTCCAGCCTCATCTGTGTTCTTGTTTACCTCACTGTTTGTCTTCTACATCTAATCGCCACATTTTGTTCTTTAAATTATTTCTACATCTTGTTTTGTTACTTAAACTTTTTTCTTAGACTTTTCCATTTGATTTACAACCAAAGAAAAGACCTATTAAGGAAGGTTTATTCCTATTTTCTGCCTTTTGTTAGATGCAACATAGATGGTGTGGAAGACAAGCGCATCATCGGGATGCAGATTGACACCAAGAGTCAAGCTCTGTGGGTGGCTTTCACTTCCTGTGTGGTCAAAGTGCCATTGTCTCGATGTGAAAGGCATGGACGGTGCAAGAAGTAAGTTTGATATTCGCCTGTAAAACCATTCTTTGAATCATTATTTCAGTGTGTAAAACATGAGTGACTGATTGTGGGTTGATTATCCTGTATAGGTCCTGTATAGCCTCCAGGGACCCATACTGTGGTTGGGTGTCAGAAGGTGCCTGCAGACAAGTGGTTGGCAACACCAAGTAAGTCAACACAAGCGCAAGCCTTGAAATGTGTATAGTGAGAGGAAGTCTTTTGGGTAGCCAAGTTTCTTTTTATGTAAGAAACAAAGAAAGAAACAATAAAACCTTGGAATAGAAATCAGCTACTATAAAAAACCATCACCCAGTCCTATGTAAACAGCATAAAAGAAGTGCTGCTAAGCTAAATGTGTTTGTTTTGAAGAGTTAAATCAAATTATATGGCAATTTGCATTGATTTATTTTTAAATAACCGTTTGTCGATAAAATCTGCGATAATTTCAGTTTTCTAACTTAGTTTCTGTTAGTCATTTTAGGGCTATTACTATGAAGATATTCAGAAATGTATTTATTGTGTAACTTCACTGGGTAGTTATTCATTTTTTGTTTGTTCCCCTCAGTTTGTGTAGCAGACATCCCTCTGATTCATGATTCCAATACCGTTATGATTTTTCCTGCTTTTTTCACCACTACAGCTCCCACATATTTTATATTCCTGGCTTTTTTTTTTTTTTTTTTGCCATAAAACCACTTTCTGAGGCTCATGGGTATCATAGTGTATTAATCCACCCCTTTTGTTTCATCTCCTGAATCTTATGAACTTAGTTGAATGTCACTACTACAACAATATTCTACCATTTTCATTGTACCTGTTGCCATTTTCTCTTGAATTTTCTTATTTTTTGGCAAGTAAGTGAACTTGCCTCCAGCTGAAGAGGCTGTTGGAAGGATGAATGGATGGAAAGTGTTGTTTGACCATAGCCTGATGTTGGGTATGCAGGGCTCGGGGAAAGTTTGATGGCTGCAGCGACTATAATTTTGTGGCTGCAGTTATGACACAGAACCAGATTATGCTTTCTGAACAAACAGCACATGAAATTTTGTGGTGGGAAAAATATTTTACAGATGAAAGCATAAAGAAGGACCACTGGCTAATTGACGATGGATAAATTTGATCATCCTTGAAATATATTGGTCTTGCATGCCAGTGCAACACATACGCACAAAACATACATCAAACCGCATATGCTACCCATCCAGTTATTACTCTGTGACGATGAACTGGTGGACAGTTTTGACTGTGTTTGCAGCAGGAGCTGACACAAACAAGGGCAGATGACTGCCTTTTTACAGTAAAATGATGTACATTTGGTTTGGTGGGATGAGCTATCTAAACAGGTGTGGAAAAGTTTGCTCATACAATTTGTCCTTTTGTTTTCTAGTCTTTCTACCCAAACATATTTTCTTAAATGTGCATGCCCATTCCTTTCGGTGTATCTATTTTTATCTGTTTTTCCCTCGATTTTCCTTCCACATGCTCTTTCTCTCTTGTAAACCTCCCCTCCTTTCTTCTTCCATCTGGTCCTGATGCTAGTGTGCCAGCTTTCCCATGTGTAGTTATGCCTCTTATACCTGCTGCCTATAAACAGCTTGCACTCTAGTCTTCTGCAATATGGTCCCCAGTTACCCCCCTGTTCATGCATATAATTGCATATGATTCTGAATGGTTGTTATGTTGTAATATAGGTACACCATGGTACTGCAATAATCAGCTCATCAAATAAGCATGCTCAGATAAAATGTGCCCATATGCTGGTTTGTGACCTGATGAGTTCCTATTTCTTTTTAAACAAATGGCATGAATCATAAAGAAATGGCAGCTTTGCAGTCTAATTTGCATATTTCTCTCACACTGTTTCTACAGTATATTCCCCGCTTTCCATTTTATTTTTACATGAATAATTAGTGTTATTATGCCTGACCTGCATTTCAACAACCAAGTCCCCTCTGTGCAACATCAAATCGTAGATAATAATCTAATCTGATGAAAAATAATGAATAATACAAATATAGGATATTTAGCTGCCTCCAGTTATGTAGAACACATTTTGAATCTGCTTTAAATATGTATAATATGGCTGCTCTGGGACCTCAACCCTGATCTGCCCGCCTGTAGTGTCGAACATTTGAACACACTGCACTTCTGTTGCTATTATGCAGCCTCTATAAGCCTGACCCTCTTAACTGAGGGTTCATGCTGTGGTTCATTCACTCTTCATATGTGCCAAGTGGGGCCCAGAAACTACATATGTACAATGAATGCTCATTGTTAATTCATTTTCAGGCCAGTAGGATTTCAACCTTGTAAATCTTTATCATACTACAGTTGATAATGTTACTAAGAACCTATGCTAAAAATCCCAACAACAAAGTTGCTTTGGTCTTGTGTAATGTGGAGGGTGCAAGCTATTTCAAGATGTTAATTTGTACCATAGATGCTCAAGGTCTGCTAGTATCTTTAGGATGGAGGTACATATTAAATAATCCATATGAATACCACAAAACATTGTGTTGTAATTAATACTGTCATTCTGCTCAGTGTTACTCCTAAATGTGTTTATGGCTTTGAATAAATTAGACTTTTTTCTACTCTGATTCCCAAACAAGAGAAATCCAGCTGTAGCCTCTCATCCAAAATGTTCCTATTCCTGTGAGGTCCACATTTTTTCCCTTTGACCAGTGTGCACAAGGGAGAGGTGATGGTGTTTTGGAAAATAATCCTGCTTTAAGCTATCATTCTGATCAGTGAAGGGTGAGGAAAATGAGAGGCGGGTGGACAGACCGAGGAGGTGGAGTGCTGAAGAGGGAGCTGAGGTGGACTGTGAAAAACTGTCATGCGTGACTGTAATTCTGGTTGACAGTTGGTCCGCTCTGTTTCACCGATCTCCTTACAGCTTGCTTGGTGGTCTTTCAGGGAGAAAACATGTCTCTGTGCAGACTGTATCAGAAAATAACACATCTAAAACTCTTTCTTTCTGTGTCATATGATGGCCCTCAAGCATGGTTACCCCCCACTGCTCTGCTCTTGGTCCATGTGATTGTAACTACACTCATATCTCCTGAAACTTGATAAAATCAGACAAAGTGCACAAGGAGACAAGATTGCACAACTTCGAGCACTGGAGAAAAAGAAATTGTGAAATAAATATGAATTTTACTTTCTTGCAAAGAATTACGTTAGAAAACTGATACCACTTATGCTTGTATAAATCTGGAGCTACTAGCAGCAGTATGTTGGATAGTGACACCATTTGGCCGTGGCGTTCAAAGCCGGCTCGTTTATCCCAGGTGGAGAGGAGACTCGCGCCGACATGAGTTACGGCAGAAAATAATAAAGTTGTAACATGTAATTTCTATTAAGGCAGATAAAAGTTACAGAATTATTGCAGCACTGCTGGCAACGTCCGAACCTCCGCGACCAGGAACCGGAAATGAAGTCCTGAACCCAACAGAGAATCTTGGCTTTCTTCGATCCTAGACTCCTCCCCTTAAAGGGGACGGGAGTGCAACCTCATTGAATCATTAATAATGTATATTATGTGTGGACTTGAGCAGGTCATAACTGGTTTAAACTGATGATAATGTTTGTGTCTAAAATATGCAACAAGCAGCAAACGATTCCATAGAAGGAGTTTCTTCTGGGACTGCTCATCTCTGAGCAGATGAAAAATCTTTGTCCGGTCAGAGAGAGGCCCATGGTCTGATTCTGGGTGGACAATATAAAGTACACTTTTGAGTTCAATGAGGACAGATGTAACAATAGCTTCGCAAATAACTGACGATTTAACACATTTACATTGTTCAAAATAAATTAGAGCTTGTGTTGGACCTTTTAAAATAAAAACAGGCAGTGACTTTTTGCAGTTTTTATTTTGCTATGTCGTTTACTGCAAGTAAGATCAAGTTAGCTGTTAGGCTAATGAACCACTAGCTCGCTACTTTTGCTAGGCTAAGCTAACTGGTTATTAGTGATCACTCCTCTTTTACTTGCCAAGAAAGCATTATGATACAAAACGTTAAACTACTTTTCAGAGCCACACATAATTTTAAAATACTTTTTTTTTTTTTTTTTCCAACACTCCTGGCAACAAGTTCTGTACAAGCTTTTTACTACCTGTCTGGATTTTCACTGATTCTGGTCTCCAGGGCACTTTTCCAGGTGTTCTTTGATTTCAAGCCAGCATAAGACTTTCTGCAGCTTGTGTTCCAGTGTGCGCTATCTTTGGGGGTGTATTTTTTTTTTTTCCCCCACATGGCTTTGTTCCTGTGCTAGGTGTGTCAAGCCTGCATGGCCTGGCCTGTTTTCCGCTGCTGACCATGATGTCTTTGTTCCCTGCAGATCTGCCTTTGAGCAGGACGTGGAGCATGGTAACACAGATGGCCTGGGAGACTGCCAAAGTAAGCAGGCCTTCTTCACTCTTATCTTTCCTCTTCTATTCCATACCCCCACCTTCTTCACCACCATCACTCCTCTTTTCTCTGTTAGCTCTGCCCTCCTTCCCCCCAAAGCGCTCTATTTCCCTCTTTGCTGCCGTCACCTTTTTCCTCTCCCGTCTGTTTCTTCCCAACAAACCTCTCACTTTCAGAGTCTTCCATCCATCTGTCTCTTTCAGCTCTTGTCCTCCAGAGTCCCATTCCCCGCTGTTTCTCTGGTGTCCTGGTCAATAGAGTGTTGTGTCCCATAATGGACAAATATTGGTTTGCTTCTTGCAAATTCTTTCAAAAACATCAACATTCAGAAGCACAGAGAAAACATTTACTTTGTGAGACGCTGCAAGCCTGTTTTTTAAAGATGCAATTCTTCTGAGCTGCACAGTTTGAAAAAAACGTGTAAACTATTCAGCAATAAATCACTTATCAAATCACCCAGTAAATGAAGGTAGCACACTTTCTCTCCACTTTTGTTTTGTAATTTTAGTGAAGGCAACACATATTGTTGTAACTTCATCATTCTTAGAGGGAGATTAAAATCTTTTTGATTAGAAGTGAGCAGAGCAAAGAGCTGCCAGACGATTCTGAATGACCTTAAAAGTCATGGCTTTTCATTATGTTATAGCAAATAGGCTCCTTTTATTGCACACAATAATGTCTCCCTTCATTTCTTTTTTTTTCTTTTTCCCAGATACATTTGTGGCACTGAATGGTAAGTATCCCACACAGGCAATCATATAAGATGGAAGCTCCATCTCTTCATCTTAAATCTTTACCTTCAGCCACACCTCTTCATCTACTCAGTCATTCATCAGCTCTCAAGGAAATTAAAACTCCTCCCACATGTGCAAAGACGGGTTATTAATGACTTGGGGTTTTAACCGAATTGATCTCATTTCTTCTTTTTGATAGACTCCCCTTCCAGTTATGAAGGTAATGAAAGTCGGTCACTTTCATGCTCCTTATCTAGCCCCTTTGGTGTTTAGAATAAAGGTCGTAGTTAAAAATCCTTCATCTTTGATGTTCATTCTGTTTCTGTTAGTTTTACTGGGCCTTTTCCTCCTCCTCATCTCTGAAGCTCCAGCCTCCTTTCCCCTGTGCAATAGCATTGATTAGCCATGACCTTTGCTTTGTTAAGTGGATGGATCTGGTTGTTGGTGGTGAAAGGCTTTGATAGTGAGCAAGTCCCTCACTATGTGAACTAAACAAGTCGATAGAGAGAAGGATGCATTAACCTGGCCTGTTTAGTGTGATTCTGTGAACCAAAGAAAGAAAACGTACTTAAAGCAACAGTTCCAATTTTCTCAGGTGGGTTTCTGGGGGAATGTTAAAAACAAAGAACATCCTACCTCTTTAAACAACTTTAAACAACTTCATCTTGGAGAAATGAGGTAATTCAGACTGAAACAATGAGCTAACGGCTAACCTGAGCAGAGCCAAGACAAAAGTGGATTGTTGCGTTGTTGAATTTTATTTTATTTTTTATATTGTGGTTCATTCATTTTGCGGTTATTTGCAAGCTTAAATAGCCCCAACAGCAGCTAGCTGTAGCACTTCCTTTTTGAGTCTGGGACACACATGAGAGGAACATTATAATATTTCTGCTCAAATGACAATATATTGTGAAATAGTGAAAACGATTCTTAAACGAGTGTGTGCATCCAGCTATGAACGTTTTGAGAGTGGAGTTGTTTTACCGGAGCTAAAATCCACTTTGGCCTTTGGCCCGCTCGGACTAGTCAAGCTCATCAATATAGTCAGATTTAAAGTCTCCAAATGGAGGCTGTTTAAAATTGTATCTACATTGAACTAAATATTAATTGTTCATAACCGTTTCACAGAACCCTGCTTCATAAAATCTGCACCACGTTCCTTTAATTCTAAAGTGCTGCTGTAGACTAGATCAGAGTGTTCTGTAGATTTTTTTTTTCTTAATCAGTGACGACATTAGATGCATGATACAATGTTTTTTCACTCACACAAATAATAAGAATAAAAAAGACAACCCCACCTTCGTCTTCCACTCACGGATGCCTCGCAGCTGCCAGATCCATACAGAATAACAAAAATAGATGTTTTTCAAAGTCTCTCCAGAAAGCACTTTCACCCACCCCCTGTGGTTCTACTCCCACTGTAAGTCTCCCTCCTTTTGGAGATTCAAGGTCATCGAAAAGCATGACCCCCACCCCCACACACTCCACCCTCTCCCTCCATGCAGTGATGAATATGCTCCCACAGGCTTGGCTGTGTGCTTTCAGGAACATGCACAAATTCACGCAGACAGTTCACAACACCATCACCTAGACTAAAACTTTATTTCCAACTGTTGCTTGTTGATATCAAGATAAATAGTTGCCCCCTCTAAATTCTCTAATTTCTTAAAATCTTAACACTATTGCCTATCTTTTAATATGGAAAAAGGGGAGTTGTGCATCAGTTGGCAGTTTTTCTCCCCCCCCCCCCCCCCCCCCCCTCCTGATTCGTGGAGGAGCACTGAGGCTCTGAGCTCTCTCTATGTGTGTCATCTGCCTGAATTGCACTTCCCCTGGTGGCGGGGGAATGAATTATAAAATAGGCCTGTCACACTAATCTCTCAGCCTTGGGCCAGTAGTTAAATAAATCATTTTAATGATTGCCACGCCACACAGAGGAGGAGGGGGCTTTGAGTGGTGTTCTGTGCGGGGATCTATTATGTGCAGTCTGCACCCATCTTCAAACACAAGCACAAACACATATTGAACGTGCACATCCCCAAACAAACACACTCTCACGTGCTGTCACCTCCTCCGTGGAGCGAGCGCTTGTCAAAATGGAAACTGGGGGTTGAGCTCTGCAAGAGGATGTTGATAAAAGTGTTGTCACTCACCATGGCAGAAACCTTTTTCCCTTTCACATGTGGCTTAAATACGCCGAGTTAAATAGAATATGTCGCTTGGGCTAAATGGTGCAGGGTGGCTTAACTCTAAGCTTGTGGGATGCTAATGTGATTATGGTGGTTCAAAAATAAAAAGCTGGACAAAAAACATGTTCAGAATTTGCTTATGAAAGACAATAAGTAACTTATACAAATAGAGGAAAACTGATGCGATGTGTAGATATAAGCAGAGACATGATATTTATGATCCATCACCCACATATGTGCATTTATTTCAACAGAGACCTATTCATCATTTACTCTACAAAACGTCAGAAAAAGAACAATTTCTCTCGGACAAAGATAACAGCCAAGCTGCCTTTTTTGTGTGACAGGCGGTCCAATGCAAAGATGTCTCAAGAGATGCAGAAAAAGCATCTATGTTTTACAGTTAAGGTGCTGAAATCATAAATCATTTGGGATTTCAGGTTGAGAAATGATTAGAGCCACTGCAGAGCAATGACTCATTTTCTCACCGTTAACCAATTGTTTATCCCTCAGTTCAGTTTTAAATTGAAAGTGGGATAAGTTATGGTTGTATGTCAAAGCACAACGAACAGTGCAACTACACCGATTTAAATTTTATGATTAAAGACTTGAGAAAAACTAAAGGAAAAGGAAAAGGCACAGCATTAGAGGCATTTTATAGTTGGAGCAAAATTACAGGCAACTCTTAACAAGACCAGTGTTGGGGAAGTTTATCTTTTGTCCTACATATGAAAGATAAGACACCCTGTGGTTACTGTGGAGGAATTATGTGCTGACAGGTCCCAGCAGAGATCTGACATGTCAATCAGAGCAGGAGGAGGGACGGCGAGGAAGACAGAGACGCAGAGAATGACAGAAAAAGGAAACATGTTGATCATTAGCAAACGCTCACGTGTTTGCTAATGAGTTGCTGAAGGTCACAAGGGAAACAGCCTGTTAACTCACACAGCCCAGAAGCTGTCTGACTGTTTATGTGACTGTGTGTGTCTGATCAGAGAAACAAACGTGTGTGTGTGTGTGTGTGCGTGAGCACCCAGCTCGCCTGTGCCTGCGTGCACCGAGCGTGAGTTAACCTGTGTTGTGTCCGGCAGGCCACCAGCACCACCACCATCACCACACCCTTACACTTCCCACATCAGCCCTCCCAGAGGCTGCAGAGGGCCCCCTGGGGCGGGGCCGCATGGTGGAGCGGAAGGACCCCCCCATGAGCTCAGACAAAGGGGAGGACCCGTACGTGGCAGTGCCCTCTCAGACTCAAGCCGAAGTCAATGGTAAGCCTTGGAACGCAACAGCGAGTAGTCAGTTGGGTCCATTGTTGCTTGTGGCATGGAAGTTGGGGAGGGAATGTGAAGTGGAAGGGAGGGGTTTAAGTAATTGAGATTTACTGTTGCCTGGCTGCTTCCAGCTGACGAGGTGTAGAGATGGCGGATGGCTTTCTCTCCGGGGGGCAGGTTGCCTCATACTGTGCACATAAACCCTCTAAAGAAAAGTAGCAAACAAGACACACATGTACGTGCACGCACATTCAGTGCTCATCAAGAGGCATGTATGCACACATAAACACTGGCACACACACATACACACTGTGCAGAATGGATTTATTACCCGTGGACCGTAATGTCCCACAGGAGATGTAATATCCAGACCATTACACTCTAAAAAGGAAGATGGCGATGTATTTATTTCCTCGAGAAGATGGCTCAGTCTCCAGCTCTGTCATCCTTCGCAACACAGTGACATGACATTGAACGCCCTTTTCTCCCGTGTTAACAACCTGCCTAATGCTGTACCGCCTCAAGGACGGCTCACTGGATAAACGAGTCAGAGTGAAAAGGGTGGAAGAGGAGGAGATGAAAGAGACAACGCACAAATCGAAGGAGAGAATATAAAGGTCTATAGGCTGCTGCCACTTCATTCTAATAAAACAGGCAGACCTATAACACAACCTATTAAAACAACATGCAACACGTTCCTGCTACTTTTTATAGTTTAGGCAATTAGAAGCAGCGTCGCGATTGTGAAATTTCCTTTTCACACAAAACAATTAGGCTCACTGCCATCTTCCTGGGGAGTAAGTACAGCCTGAGACAAAACACAGAAAATGTCTTTGTTCTTACCATTGTAATCCTTTAAAGAACTCATTTGCTGACATGACGATGATTTTGCACGTGGTTATGAAATACATTCACACACGTTAGAAATTTTATGGTGATGATGTGAATCAGTTGCCGGGTTACCACACAGCAAACATCATGTTTGAAGTAAGAAACTGTGTGATTTTATTGAATTGTGTGTGATTATTTTTGCTTAGCGCGCTTGTGTGAAAAGTTTACAAATGATTCACATCTACACCAAACTTTTTGAAATCTCGCCTGAATGTAAATCTTAACCATATGCCAAATCAACCTGTCCGCGTTCTGTTGGTTTAGTCGTTGTGCGAAACACGTTTCTGTCTTTTCTGTGCGTGAAATGAACACACATGTCAGCTGGAAGCAGCAAGGCACCAGTGGGTAGATCCAAGCACAGTGGTGGCAGAGACTTCAGACGGCATGCCTGCAGTCAGCATCACAACATGCTGCCGCGCCCCCAGTTGCCTTTACCTGAGCAGGTGTGGAACCCTCACCAGGAATGGTGTACAATCATGCTCAGGTAACTGCAACAGGGCTCCACATTCCAAAACAATGCTTCTAGCAGTTTTTCTTCTGTATGATCATTATTATTATTTTATGAGACACCTTTGCAGCTTGTTTCACTGTTTGTTCAGTTTCAATTTCAGCTCTCTTATCTTTATTTTTCCTTTTTTGCTGAAAGCCAGCTTTGATGATTTTTGTGTTCTTTGTGAGCAGTTGATATTTTGCATGGCTGTGTTTCTTTTATTTTGTGCTATTTATACATTTGCCACTTTTTCCTATATTTCTTTGCTTTGATGGTATTAAGCACAGTTTTGCCTCCATACGGCTTAATGCTTTTCAGCATGGCAAATTGAGCACCACAGCCAACAGTACTCTTTTTTTTCCGCTCCACCCCATCCTGCCTTCTCTTCCTTCCTGTTGCCTTTCATATCATTAGCTTCAGGTGTCAACTGTACTGTGAAAACTGAGTGAGTCACAAAATGAGGAAAACATGTTTATGAGAAATGATTATGGAGTCTGAAACCAAGTAAATTAGCAATTTTCCCTCCATTTTAATGATGCAGAAACTTTTGTGTGGCAGAAATAAGAGATAAAGCATCAATCTCAAGTTTATGCTCCAGGAAAATACATTATCTCATAAAGCCATTTGTTTATTATTTAAAAGAAAGTAAAATTACCCCCGAAATTTTTCATTTACAATGGAATCTTATCTGCTAATGAATATGACAGTGCTGTCAATATGCATTAGCCCAACACCAGCAGAGTAATTAGAAATGCTGTAAATTGATGAGTGTTCCCACAAAATGATTATATGCAGCATCATTGCTGTTCCGAAGGGGCCACTGCAGTAACTGTGTGGTTGATTGTGCTTCACAGTACATTTGAGCTTTGTGTTAGTCCTTCTGGGCCTCATCTATCTCTGCTACATATTCACCTACTCCATACCATGCTATAACACACCTCACCCTTTTCCTTTTAGCTCACCCTGCACCCCCAAACCACCAGCAGCCTCACCTCCACCACCACCTGCTGCCATTGTGATCAGTCTCCCTTCCACTGGACCTCTCATCTGACTAGGATAGCATGTTCCAAGGCTATACCTTACCTGATGCAAATTAGCAGCTAAACCAATTGATGGAACCTCCTTGCCCTTTTCCTCTTTCCCTCTCTTTGTCCTCCATCTCTGCACCTCCGTTTATCCTGTTGCAGTCTGTCGTATCACAAACTGAAGTCATATCTGTTCTGCAGGAATAAATTCTTGCCCCACGCCCCCCTCTTTTTGCCCACAGTTTCCTCTTTTATACCTGTCTCCTCTTCTCTGTCAGGCTCAGCCCCTCTCTTACAACCACCCTCCCCCAACCCCGACCTGTAGCCACCGCTGTGTTGCTCCAATTTATGGGTTCATTAAAGCTGCTACCCAAGGAAGAAGGAAAGGGGAGAGGTGGGAGGAAAGAGGGGATGGAAAAAGACTACAGGGAAAGAGACTTTGTGGATGATGAGAGGGCCACACGATAACGATTTATTAAAAAGACTAGAACAATAACGTAGCAGTGAAGGTTACATGGAGGATAGGCAAGGAAGGTAGACAAAGCAGCTGCGCGATACAAAGAAACAAGATGGAGGAGATATGGCTCTGAGAGGATATAGGATGTATTGAAATACTCTTCCTTTTCCATTGTTTGGTGAAATGAGCTACTATTTTTACTCTTATCAGTTCACATTCTGTGTTTCATTTTAAAGTCATCTTTACTGTAATTATAAAAATATATTTCAAAAGCAATCGACACACATTTTGAGTCCCAGTTTCCATTAAAATTACGCTTCTATATTACAATTAATTCACTTATTCTCTCACTCTTAATACAGATGATTCTTATGTGATTACAGTTATTGTATTAGTTAACTCATAAAACAGAGTAAGGTTAATATTAGGGCACAAAAATATCAAAGTTATAACTTGAACATGATGTTCTCCAAGACTATGGGCTTTGATAGGGATATTCTCTGTTACGTTGGCCTGTTGTCAGTGTTTACAGCCAACCAGCTGAAGGTTATCACTAAAAATCCAACAACGAATGTGGGTCTATCAGAATCCATTCTGGTACCAACTGTTGTGGGTGTTCTTTTATCCTCTATTGTTTCACAATTTATCATACTCACGACCAAACATTTTACTTATGGACATTTACATTTTCCAAAATAGAGTGATACCCATCATTACCACATTATAAATACTTGTACCTCAATTCCAGAACTGTGTTGTATGAATGCTCTTACCTCAAAAGATGCACCTGGACTTATAGACTTTATGCAAAATAATAGCAAATGATAATAAGAGGGATATAACTGATATAACTTGTACGCATTTTTGGTAATTTTTGGGTACACAAATCATCAGTAACTTGTTATTATTAAGTATTTTAGCACCATATAAATTCCTAACTGATAAATTAACAGCACTTAAAATTGCTTATTCTGACGACTGTGTTTTACAACTAATAGGTTTGAGATTTTGTTTTAAAAATTATTATTTTTATTAAATGTGAACAATGATGATGCTTTAATTTAATATATTATTTAAAAAAAAGCTCAAAATAAGCTCTGAAAGTACTAATTCAACACTGATTTTTTTTTTTTTTTTGCCTTTTTCTCAAGTAACAAAACAGTTAATTAAAAGTGTTAATGGTAGTAACCAGACTGGCTTTATAAATGAATAATTCTACAATAAATAAATTGTTAGAAAACTCTTTAATTATTGGTTATTTTTGTACAATACAAGTCAAACTAAGTTAATAATTTCAGCTTAATAATGACTTAGTGAGAGCTGATACGTGTAGGTTATCAATAAATTATTAATCAACTAGTAAATGGTTAATTTTTACATCCTAAAATAAAGTATTATTATATTTTTCTGCCCACAGTATATGACAAAAATCTAATACTATAATGTCATAAAGCTCCAGAATGAAAGTGATAATTAAAAAACATGTTTTAATAGGCAGAAAGTATAAAGCAGTTTATAATACTTCAAATGCTTTTTGCAGTTGGAAAGTGATAAATCAAATTTCTTAAACAGTTTTCTGTTTTAATTGCTGCCGATGAAAGCAGATGCTGAATGTTCTTTTGATGATGACCAGCTGGATTTTCACATTAATCAACAGAACTGCAATTTTTCTATATTTCAGATTATTTTGATGGCAGTTTTTTTTACTACCCCACAAGTGCTAGAGTAATTTATTTTGAGACGTGATTTCCCTCCATGCCGGAGTTTCACAGTAATACCAGCTGTCAACCAACAGCTGCTCTGCAAGGGTTATTTTCAGCTGCAGGTTTCTTTCTGACACCTGTGTGCCAAGGTGAGGCTGGCATGATGGAAAAAGGATTTGACCTTGTACAGACAGGGATGTAGCAATTTTTTTTATTCTTGTCAAGGTGTCTTGATCTTTCTTCATCTCAGCCTGTGGAAAGAAGCTGAAGGAACATCTCACTGCAGTCATTTGGGATGTCATGTGACTAAAATGTTACATGAGAAAGTTATGCAGGAAAGATTGTTGCACACAATATATTCAATTACACTTTGACAGAAAAAAGCTTACTCCTTAGGTTACAAATAATTAATCCATATTACTATATTTTTC